TCTGATAATTTGGATTTATTATTGACCAAAACCTCTGTGCATTTTTAGCTGTGATTCAGTTTTAGAAGCCCTGACTTTCTAGCAACCTCCTCTGCCTCTTTAAGAGAAATTTCTTCCCTCCAGCACATGTGGATGTGACCTTGTTAGCCTGAATCGCATTCACAAGCATACTACCTATCTACTGCTCTGCACACACACACACAAACATGTTCACAGGGTACTGGGAAAAGCAAGACATTTGTGGTGAGGCAGACCTGGGTTTGAGTCTTGACTTTTTCACACTCTTTTGATCCTTGCAAATCAGCTAACCTTACTGAGTTAGTGCTATTTTAAAATGGAACAACAATAGTTCCTGCCTTTCCTACTACCCCAATATGCTATGGGGTGCAAGCTAGACAATTAATAATTGTTAAATCCTATCAAGTGCTAGACATTGGGTGCACAGACACAAACATACACATGTGTATTCTTTACACAGGTTCATACCCACATCCAGATGACATATACAAGCCTGCCCCAGGACAGTCACAGGAGCACTTCCTCACCAGGCTATGCTTTCTGGCTCAGAGCAGCCCCATCTCACCTAATAACCCTCATCAAGGTCTGCAGGGCGTCAGCCTCTTCTGGTTTGTTTTCTACTCACACCAGGACCCAGGAGACTCGTGAGAAGCACAATAAAAGCCTGGCCAGTCTGGCACTGATCCCCACTTCCCTTCCACATAAAGGCTGTCTGTCTAACTGCCAGGCATCTGGCCTGAAAGGCTGGGCCAGGACCTGCTCAGCATCTGCTGCTGTGCTTAAAAGACCTGCTAACAGGAAAGTGTCTGGTTCCTTTCCACCCCAAACAGGAAGTGCCTGCTACTGTCCGAAGGCTGGGGTAGCCCAGTCATTTACAAGGAGCCTCCCCCCGCTGCAGGGGAGCCTCAGGGTAGTTTTGCTCTCTAGGAAGCCTGGAGGAACAGGGCTCCAGGGATGCCTCTGCAGGAATGGGGGTGGGCTGGCGGTGACCATAGCTACTATTATATGTGGCACCTGGTGCAGAATAGGCTGTTATTCTTTCAACAAACACTCTTGGAACACATACTCTGTGCCCCCTGGGAGACATAGGAAAGTCCTAGGTAAGGTCTTTGAGATTGGGGAGTTTACAGACAAGTCAGAAAGACCAATTATGCCATCCCCCTTACAGTTATTTATCCATTTATTAAATGCAAGGGCTTTTTTCTCCCCCTTTTTTTTCAGGCACTGTGTGAGGCATGGAGGGGTCAGAGATGAACTACACAACCCAACTAGAAAATATTTCAGCTTCTAATCAGGTAGGCAAGCCTTCAGTTATGTGGTACAACTGTGAGTTCACAGAATTTCAAAAGACAAAAGATCATTGTGGCCTGATTTTTACTGTGGTGGGAGCAGGAACTTCTCCTGCTTTCTATCTTGCCCCCTACAGTCTATTCTCAAGACAGCAGCCAGAGTCATCCTGGTAAAGCAGGTCAGAGCAGGTCAGGGCTCTGCTGAATGGCTCCCTCTAATGACTTTCCCTCTCACTCTAAGAATATTCCCAGTCCTTATAGGGTCTTACAAGGTTCTGGTAGACCAGTCGTGGAAGGGTTGGAAAGCCAGAAAGGGGATGGAGGCAACTCAGAAATTGTCAATAGCAAGAAGACTCTAACTAACTAGAGGCTGGAGGAATGGAGGGAGGAGTGGGGTTGGGAACCAGGATGACCAGTGGAAACTGGATCTCTGGGGAAGACAGCTGCTGCCTAAGAGACCCCTGTGGCAGAGAGGGAGAGGAAGAAAGAACCCTCGCCCTTCCCTTTCTTCTACTATCTAATTTCCTACCAGGATGCCTACTGGCTGACTCTAGCTGGAAGTTACAGCCTGAAGGAATCCCTGAAACTGAAATGCCGCCTGAAAGGGGTCAGCTTCCCATGTGAGGACCTGAGGAATGGATTGGGGACAAACAGGCCCAGTACTAAGACCTTCCTAGACACACTGTGCTAAAGCTATGTGTAAAATGTACCTGCTCTCTTGCCTAAATATGCAGAGTGAGACCAGGATAGCAGAGGTAGAGGGAGCTGGATCTTGTAGTATAAAGAATGACTGGGTGAAGATTAAAGATCTTAAGATACCCATTGCAGGTAATCATTCCCGGGCAAAAGCCTGGAAGGCAGAAGGGCACAGGGCTCAATCTGTGAGTCAGTTTGTGGTAGAGAAGCACCCTTGGAAAGAAGCTCCAGAGCAATGCACACTAGGAGGAATTCTCTTGTTTCAAGTTTCAGAGATGCTCTAAAAAGAACACTAGACTTGGACCAAGGGCCTGGGAGTGAACTTGGCTTCTGCCCCTAATTGGCTGTGTGGACCTGGTAAAGAATTTTGCCTCCCCAAGCTTTAGTGTTCTCATCTACAAAATGTGGGTAACAGCAATACCTATTTCACAGGGCTGTCCAGAAGATTAAAAGAGATATGGATAGAAATAAGCTAAATACCACTCCTCTGATGAGATTCTTCAGATGTTCCCTGTTGTTTTTTCACTTAATATTCAAATTCCTCCACAAGGCATATGAAGCTCTTCAAGATAGGGCTTCTGCCTACTTCTTTCACTCATTCCTCACCACTCCTGACCCTTGCAGCTCCACAGACCAGCCAGACTGAATCACTTGCAGTTCCCAGAAATATGCTCTCCTCTAGTCTCTGCAAATATAGCCTATTCTGCCTAGAGCAGTGTGTTCCTGATCTCCCCCTGCAACCCTCCTTTCTCCCATCATTCCTGTTCTTTCTTCAAAGCTCATTTTAGAAGGCATCTCCTGAATGAAGATACCCCTCCTTTTTTAATACCCCCTCCACCCTTCATGTACGCTAGGTGCTCTTCCTCTGTATTTTCAGAGCATCCTCTGCAGGATGCAGATTCTAATTCTAGCACATTCAGGAGTTAACTGGAGTCACAGGTTTATACTGTCCCTGTTATAATGACTGCGGTTCCTGGAGGGCAGATGCTGTCCTGCTTTCTGGTTCTCTACATCCTTCCAGGGCCTGACACCTAGTAGACTTCAGGAGATGGCAGTTGAGTGAAGAATGCATGCATGCATGAATGAATGAATGATGGTATAAACTTAAGGGGTCATTGATGAGCAACATCTATTTTTTGGTATGTCCATCTTTAAAAAACCCCAGTTCTAAACAAAGTAATAACAAAAAAAGAGGAAGAACAACCTGGAAACCCAACAGGTTTCCTGGAGGAAACATCTCCTTCCACAACCCAACCCTATTCTTTCCTGCTATTGCATATGCCCATTTCTTCCCTCAGTTGCCTTCCTCAGTACATACACTGAATGCGCTAAATCATTTTTAGTTATAAGAGACTTTGTATTCCTTTAGCCTTGTTTCTTTGGACCTGTCTAGAGAGCTGTGTGACACTGTATCTATAGATTAGAATACAATTACTGCAGTACAATGAAGAGAGATGACCTCATGCCTTTTTTCTGACCTGAGAGCCCTAATTCTGAGCCACTTCCACCCCAGCCTGTTCCTCCTCCTGTTTCCTACCACAGTGAATGATATCACCATCTGCCTACTTGTCTAAGTGGAAAACTCAGAATTCAGCCCAGACCTCTGGCTCTCCAAATAGCTCCACCCACCCAAATTGGTCACCAGAGCTTGCCCAGTCTACAGCCTAAGTATCTCAGGGATCTCTTCACTCACCTTCGTCACCACTTAGCTATAACCTAAGTCCAGGCCACTATGATCTTTTCATCAGAATTATTACATTGGTTTAATTGGCTCCCTGCTTTAGGCACCTCTGATCTCCATACATTCTTCACACTGCAGCTTGAAATGCAAATCCGATCTTCTTTTAAAATTCCCTGGCTTCCCACTGCCTTCAAGATAAAGCGCAAATCTTGATGTACCATACAAGGTCTGTTATTTAGCCCCGTACTTTTCTGGCCTCATCTCCTACCGTTCTCCCCTCTTGAGTAAATGCCCAAGAAGTTACTTGGTGTACAACTAGTCGAAAGCACTTTTTCCTACTTCTTCACTTAGTCAACTTCTGCTCATCACCTATGGTTTGACTCAGGTGTCACGTTGCGCTCGGGGAAAAAGTGCGTGTGTGCTCTTCTGAGCTTTCACAGCCTCATCTCAAATTCAGGAGCTCGAGATCCCTTCAGGCAGTTGGGCACAAAGGTGAAACCCACAGGCAGTGGGGTCTGGTTACCAGGATTCGAATTCCACGTTGGCCCTTTGCAAGCTGTGAGACTAGAGCAAGTGAATTCTGTCTTCTCGGCTCTAACGTGTAGATAATATTTCATCAGTCTGTTTTGAGAATTAAATGACATCATGTAAGGGGCCTGATAATTAGAGTTAACCATTATTATAGCACTGAAAACTAAAGCTCAACCCTTCTTTCCGCCACATTCCCAGAGTCCTGTTTGTGTGTGATTTCGTTTTAGTGCACACGTTTTGTCTAGTATCACCTTGTAGTCAATTTTTTCCTTGACAAGGTAGTTATACCAAACCTGGAGGCGATCAGGTACCGGAGCTCGTCAAGACTTTCGGCCCAGCAGCTCGTCGACTCCGAACGCCCCCAGGTGGCTCAAGATGTTAGCAGCCGTAGCCTAGAGAACTAGGGAATACCATTAGAAATTTTAGGGGAAGAAAGGCCTTTTCTAACCAAATAGTCTGTGTTTATCACGTCTCTCATCTTTCGCTTCTAACTTCGAGTTCTATCAGACCCAATAAAGTGAGGTCCAATAAAGAAAGGACTGTACTTAGGACGGAGCGCGGAGGCTCATTTACACCCCACGCCCCATCCTGAACGCGGCATTGGTACTTCCTCTTCTCAATTCCCTCTCAATAATGGTACCGTTTGCGGAGGGGAGACCAGAGAGGGATTTTGAAATCCTCAGGGTTCGGAAGCTGGTACTAGTGCAGAGCCACCCCTCGTGTCGTGGCTCTCTGGTACCGTCCACTCTCCTCTGATTGGCTGCCGAGGCCCCGCAGTCGGGCTCAGCCCGCCGCACCGCCCACAGAACAGCTCCGGCCGCCGCGCCGCCTGGTTCTCGTTTCCCTTGTTCTCGGTGGGCTCGCGGGGCTCAGCACCGCGGCCGTTAGTCATGTCGGGTAGGTGACTCCGTCAGCGAGCAGCGGCAGCGGCGAGAAGGGGCCTGGCGGGGTTGGGCCATCTTCCCGCCCACCGGAGGGCCCCGAGGGAAAGCCTCCGGCCCTGAGGGAGGCTTGGGGTGGGGGGGCGGCCGTGGCCGCCGCCATGTTGGACCGGAGGGACGCACGCTCCCAACGCTCTGCGTTTGCAAATCACGGCGGGAGCTCTTCGGGCATCCTGTCTTTTGGCCCTGTCCTTGGAACCGGAGGAGACGTGCCGCTCCTGGGGGAGGGTGTGTGAGTCGGGGGGCAGAGGCCGTCTACGCCATCAGAGGGGCGGGGGGATCCCGTGATACGAGCATCGGTCTGAAAGGATCGGTGCTTCTGGTTCTCCGCTCCGCCTCAGAAATTTCAGCGAGGCCTCGGGCCAGTCGTCTCTCCGCCTCGTACCTCAATTTCCCCATCCGTGAAGTGGAGCTGGTCCTTCTTGACTCACCCATTCATCAGGTGGGGGCTTTGACGCTCTAGGAGCCGTTTCAAAGGACGTTGTCTTACACGAAATCCTACTTAACCTTCGTTCCCTCTGCTATAACCACCCGGATTCGAGTTGGGGGTGTTTGCATGTAAATCAGCTTCCTCCTCACACTCGCCTGTCATTCTCCCTTCTCCAGTTATTTCCTGCAAGAGTTTGAAAGTTTGAACCCTTTGTATTATTGATAGTCTCCTGTAGGTACATGTGACATTAACCTAAACACATACAGACCAAGGGAAAGGCAGTCTTCCACGAAGTACTTATATTGATAGAGGCCCCTTGTGCGGAAGAGAAAAAGAGGCGCTGTTTTTTTCTGGACAGCCAGTTTAGATTCTGTTAAACCAACTGCAAAGTCTGGAACGTGGATGTTTTCTTGATTTAGCAGTCCTACCTGACCACACAATGTCCTCTGTTGTTGGGCACATCACAGGCTGCAAAGATCCTGCTATCTACTTGCTAGACACCATCATGAGAGTTTAGGTACACTTTTCAGGTGGAAAAGCAGAACATGACAAGATGAAAATGCTGGTTTTTAAGGGAGAGACTTTGGTATTTAACCTTTCCTTCTCCCCACAAAGTAATCAGTCTTGCACAAGTATGGGAAACGTCTGACGAAAAGGAAGCAGCAGAGTAAGAAGAGAGCAAATTAGCAAGGGTGGTTGGGCAGGAGAATGGTAAACATTCCTTAGGTTAATGTTGATGTTAAGAAGCCAGAATATTGATCTTTTGGTGGAGGGACCTTCCACCTAATCTAAGTAAGGGGCTGTTAACTGCACAGAATTTCTCTTCTTTCAATTTCTATTTCATTCTTGCTCAAATTACTTACCCGGAGTAGACATTAGTACATTTTTTACCAGGAGCATAATTTTGAGTGAAGTCTGGTAAAGCTTCATGGAAGTTCACGGTATAACACCTTCAGGAGGGTGTTCAACCCTTCCAGTGGTTTATGAGAAAATAAGATCTCCTACCCACATGGAGAAATTCACTAAATTTCAATGAATACAGTGCTCATTAAAACTATTGGCATGTCTTGATATTTAACAATTATTGGTATAAAACTGGTTTATTTTTATAGGTCTGGGTAGCTTTTATGGAAAAGTAAAGTTTAGAGGTTTACCATTTGTAAAATCCAGTATTTTCAGTTTGTCATAGTGTATGTGCTGGTTTACCCATTAGTACTGATCTTCAAATTACCAAGACACCAGATACTTGTCACTTTGTAATTTGATTTTTTTAATATTGAAATTGGCTTTTACTTGTGAAAATAACTTTAATAATTGCTTGTTTAAAAAATTACATGAATTAAACCTAGAAGCTTTCAGTTCTACTTAGTGTTGTTATATATACTATTTATACATGTTGTAATATGTATATAAAAATACTTTTGACGTTGTATAAAAATAAGAATAATGCTTTTGACTTGTTCTTTGATGAATGTTTAAGTTAATAAATACAACAGAGAGTGAACACCCCCTAAACAACTAATGGCATTAAGTTTAGTTAAGTCTTTTAAACATTCCCAAACTACACTTATAAATTTAATCTATCAAATTGACTCAACCACCACAGATTCCTGACAGGGCATACTTACAAACCTAACATAGAAGCACTCATGTAATCAATCAATCAAATCAAAATTGTTAATATTGTAAGTAGACTCTCAGACATTCAAATACTGTTTACAATTGTGAATTACCTGAAACTTTTCAAGATAAAAATCAAATCTATTAATCAATTATGCATATAAAAATTACAAAGTCAGGATACTTATTGTTTTGGCAATGTGGCAGACCAAGATAATTTGAAAATCTTATATCTACAAACTCTCAGAAAATGGAAGGACTTAGAAAGAGCAAGCCCCAGCTGCTGCCATAAGTGAAGTAGAAGCCAGCATGGTAGGTATAGAGTTAACTTGGCAGATACCCTGGAGAGGAGGGTTTAGGTGTCATTTAGAGAATTGAGTTTTATTTCCCAAGTAACAGGAGGTGAATCCTTGAGACCTTTAGAGAGCCAGGTATTGGAACAGACCCTTACGTAAAACCTGGATTTTTGAAGGACTCTGACAGTGAAAGAATTGCATTAGAAAAGAACCTTTGTACCAGCATAAGAGATAATGAGTTTGGGCCCAGAGTGAAAAAAGTCCTTCTTGAGAATTTGTAAGCTAGGGCCTGTTCTTCATACAATTCAGGCTAGTTATGGGGTCTAGAAAACCTTAAGCCAAGAAATTAACTTAAAATTTGATTCTGGGCTGCTAATAAACTTGGGGATCCTGGTAGAAACAAATGAAAAACCTCTGGAGGATATTTTACAGCCTAGGGCACAAGAATCTGATAGAAAAAACAAGCCTTGCAAAATAAGAATTCACAGTAAAAAATTGCAGAACTCGAAACAGTCTACCAAAATGAGTAAAACATGATTAGAACCCCTAATAGATAAATCTGAAAGTGAGTCATACCTGTTTAAAATTATTAAAAGTCTCAAAGACCAAATCAACCCTAAGACCAAGATGTTCAGAAAAAAGGTCATGTAGATTAAAAAAAAAAACATAACAACTTCTGGAAATGCAAAAGTGGATAAGTTGAATTGCAGATAGAACTTAGCAGAAAAGCAGTTAGTGAAGTGGAAGTTGATGTGATACAACTACCCAGAACTCAATTCTGAAGGATTACACAGTGAAAAAAGATTTAGAAACATGGGAAAAAGATTGAGAATTTGTCATCCAATAGGAGTTTGAGAAAGAGCAGATAGGGAAGAATCAATAGATAGCTGGAAATTTTCCAAAATTAATGAGTGTTCTTAATCAAAATATAGTCTCAAACATGAGACACAAAAATTGATTCATACTTAAACACATTGATGTGAAACTGCAGATGATGAAATAACCAATAACAAATCTACCAGAGGAACTAGGAAAATGATAAGATTGATAGACTTAAAAGTTTAAAGAAGCCAGAAAATAGTGAAATGATCCTTGGAATTTAGAGGAAAAATAACTGTTCAGCTTGAATTTTTACTCAGACAGACTAAGGATACCACTTTTAGGCCTTTGCTGAAAACTAATAAATCTGGAAGGGAGGAAGAGGCTGAAAAAAACAATGTAGAGGAAGAAAGTATAAAAAATAAAAAGCAAATATTGATGGTATAGAACATTGAAGATTAAGATTATTACATTTAGTGATTAAAAGATGGAACAAAAGGTATGGGAAGAAAAGTAGAATCAAAATAATAGGTGAAGGCTGTGTTTGGCCTTATCGTACTAAGGCTCTTATTTTCTGGCAGAGGTTGAAGATCATTTTGAAATTTGTCAAGAATGCATGTTAAAAATTGAACAGTCATTAAATTATGAATGGTAACTGAAAGAACAAACGTACTGCTTCTAAAGCAGTAGAGGGGAAAAGGGATTAAAAATCCAATAGAAGGCAGAAAGGAGTTAAAAGGAAAAAACTCATGTAGAAAGTGCAGTATGGGGAGGTAGGAATAAATACAAAGTAACAGTAAAAGTATGAAAAAGTTGAAATAAAAATTTCTGCATTGGGGAAAAAGTGATATAGATAAATGCTGTTCAGAAATGATATGCCTAAAACAATATTGAAAGTGTAGAGGTAGAAGAAGACTAACCAGGCAAACACCAACCAACCAAAGGAAGATTGTTTAGTTATTGTCAAAGTAAAGTTTGGACATTTTTAATGACAGCCTTCATGTACTATTAAAAGGAAGTTCATCAGGAGTATAAAAATCCATATTTTTATGTGCCTAATGATACATAAAAGTATAGATAGAAAAAATAACAAATCTATAGTCAAATGGAGTTTTTAAAGCATACCTCTGTAATAGGTCAGTCAGGCCAAATGTTAGTAAGAACATGGATGATAAAACAGGCATCATCTTACAGACTTCAAAGAGTTCATTTTCTTGGTTTCACTGGATATGGCTGGTAATTGTAGGTCTGCTTTGGTTATGTAGCTGTATTCCTATTATGTTAATGTACACGAATTTAATTAGTAATTTAAAACCTATACACGCTTATGTTACACTACAAGAAGATATGTCAAAGAAATAATCTTCCCATGTTTTCTTCCGTCTGCTACTTCTGTAGCTTCTCTTCTTCCTTCATAATTAAAACCCCTAAGTAGAATTCGTGCCTCATATCGAAATTACCGAGTATCATAATTCTTCCAAGTGGTAAAGATACCTCAAGACAAATGCTGGGTATAGAAGCCACAGGGCATAAATCTGTAAAAAAGTAAAAAGCTAACCTTTTCAAACAATATTGCTTCTCTCTTACTTGCCAACTTTACATTTCCCCGTATGGCCCCAGAAGATGACTGGTTAGCCAGAGACGGGTAAGATTCTTCAAGGGAGGAACAACCTAAGACAGGCACAGTCGCAGGGGGGCCATCAGGTGAGAAATTGGGGATCAACAGAGGTGAGGCTTAGAACCTCACCCCCCCTGTTTTGAGAGAAATCTGCATCTGGGGATGTTTTGTTGCCCTTGTCTAGCTTGGATTAATACTTAGTCTATAGGCACACACCTGATCATCTACATTTGCCCTCTTACAGCACTAAACTATGTTTTCTACCTTTATCTTGCATCTACCTACCACTTCAGCATTTTATTAAAAATAAAAATAATAATAATAATAAAGGGAGAAATGTGGGATCAACATATAAATCAAGTATAAAAATCAAACGAATATTCATATTTGACCTGATTGTTTATAGTTCATAATGCGTGATCAAAACCGAAAGTTTCTGTGATGACTGCCCTTGTACTGTTCACCATGTAAGAACTTATTCACTATGTAAGAACTTGTTCACCATGTAAAAACTTGTTCGTTATGCTTCAGAAGATTGGAGACTGTTGAGAATTAGGCTTGGGGTTGATTAGTGATTGTGCATTGAGTCCCCTATACAGAATTTTATTGTTGTTAACAACCATATGATCAATAAATATGAGAGATGCCCTCTCAAAAAAAAAAAAGTTCATTTAACATTTACAAAATGCACAGTTCTTAGGGGACATTTATGCAAGTGAAAGTACCAAAGGGAAAAATAAAAAACAGCAAATCTTAAATAACCAGGAATAATTCAGAAAATGCCCCTTCTGGCTGCAGTGGACTATAGAAGAGAAACAGTCAAAATCCTTCACACTTGGAAATAAAAGCACTTCAAATAATTAATGGATCCAGACACAAGATGCAGGTGTGTCAAGTACTTATAATGAGCAATTTTTTGAAATGTCGTAGATAAAACATTTATCTCCTGTAGCTTTAAAGTCAGCCTGCTAAAGACATCAAATAGATTTACAATTTCAGTGGGCTAAAGTAACTGGGTTACAGTTAAGGACTCTAATGCTTAGTAGATTTGAGCCAAGTTCACATGACTTGTGTGCTTGTGTACTTAACAGTTTTGCCTGAGCCAAAGAGAAATAAATACACTAATACCTTGGACCCACCTGTGTCACTGAAGGAACCCACATCCGTGCCTAGGGATATGTTTTAACCTGGAACTTCAGTGTATCCCCACAGTAACTTAAGTTTATGAATATCTAACCCACATCCGCCAAATCCTTTCCAGTTTTTGGTTTGAGTGAAGTTAGTTTTCTTCCCTATAGGTAGGTGTATTGAATCTGTGGTTCAGTTAGATTCTGTATTCTTTTCATATTTGTTAGCTATAAATCTACAGTCATTTTATTATCATGGGTGTGGCAGTGGTGCACTCTTTGTCTCAGGTAGTCTTAATCCTTCACATTCATAGAAGTAGTAGTTTGTGTCAGGATTTAACTGAATATTCTTATAATTAAGGATTTTAAAAATGAGCTTGTTTGGTCTGATGGGAGATCTCTACTGCAGAAAAGTGCATATTTGATGTCACCCACTTAACACAGACAATGGCAGTGTTTTCATATTGTAGCTTTATATGAATTGAATGAAAAAGTCATGGATTTAATTTTTGGTAGGTAGTTTGACAGCTGTTTGACAGCAAGTGGTTTTGTTTCATATTGGATGAGGTTGGGCCTAATGGTCAGCAGGTTGAGACTGAGTTTTTGCAGTTGAGAGCATTTCATCTTACTTTTCTCTTATCACTAATACACTGAGGCCATATGATTCTGTGCAGAGCCTAAAGGATACAACCTCTTAAAAACAATTTTTCATATAACTGATATTTTAAAGTATTGGGAAAAGTTAGTTCAAAATTTTATTATTTTTTTGATATACATTATTCAATTCATGCCTGCCTTGGTAGTTTTTATTTCCAAAAAGGAAGCTAAAAGTAGGTATTGCTGAGTTGGTTTACCAGTTGGCCAAGTCCCTGAAAGCTTGGTGAAGGTGGGGTTAAACAACTAACTTGGCTGTTTTACCAAGTGTTTGGAGATCTTTTTGTTGCTACTGACAGCCAGAGCAATCCAATACAGGGGAATGGTGCCTCTGTTGGACTGGCAAGGATATACCAGTAAATGTAATCCTGGGAATTGGTCTTGTCAGAGTGTGTGAGTTCCTCCTTGTTAGTCCTGATTAGTTTTAGCAGATGCCTTTTTGTATATAAATATAATACAGCTTGAGCTTTTAAGTTAGGTAAAAGGTTTGATTTTTCACTGATTGTTGCACACCTGTTCACTTCGTTCTTATGACCCTCAGGACACATTTGTAGGATAATTTCAAAGATGTAGTTATGGTACATAGAAAATACCAGTTATACATGTTTCTCCTTATGTGGTATTTTTAACTTCTAGTTTTTCTTTCTGTAGTTACTTTTTATGACATTTTCCTACTACATTTCATCTATAAGAGTTAAAATCAGTCTCCAAGGGAAGCACGAATTTTAAGTAAGATTTAAAATTCTTTTTATGTGTTTTAGATACTGGAAGTTACAGTCAGTCTGGGGGTGAGCAGCCAAGGTAAAGTATACATACATTTAATAATACCATGAAAAAGTAGAAATGGGAGGAAAAGATTAATTTTGTCAAGCTTCCCACTTGAGACACACTTGATGTCTTAAAAGAGTTAAATATTAGCTTGTCAAGGGGAAAGAGGGTTAGTCTATGTACTTAGGTGCTGTAAAACAGTTCTTCCTTTTTTTTTTAAAGGGTTGTTTGAATCAGTGCATGTAGATGCCACCTAGAGATTAAAACAAATCTTACAGGTATTGCAAAGGTTGTTTTCTTTAGCAAATTAAAAAAAAGGATTTAAGCAACTGATCTATAACAGGTTCTTAAAATACTTTATTTTTCTATTGTATATAATATGCTAATATATTTTTCAGAGCAGATTTTCTACAAGCACTGTAATAGAAATATTTAGCATTTTTAAAAGACTCCTTACCATGCTCTCAATAAAAAGAAAAGTCTTTCTTTGTGAATATATACATGCAGTGGGGTACTCTTGCTTACCAGGAATACAGCCTTCAATTTATACTATAAATGTTTTACAGCTCAGTGTGAAATATTCAGAATAGTGTCTCAGATATATTCTGTCATCAAGTTCTAAGTTTCATGAAAAAATTGATGTGACTTTTTTATTCTCATAGGATAATGCTCACCTCAGTGATCAACTAGGAAATGTTTATTCAGTGAAATACATTTTATAGTTAGTCTGTTAACACTTCATAGTTCTAAAATGATAAACTTTTTTGGCAAATATTTTTATTTGGCATATATTCAGAAAGTTCCTGATCTGTTAGATTGTATGTGCTATGTAAAATTGAATTCAAATCTGAGAAAGGTACATTTATTCATTCCATGACACTACTCTGAATATAAACAAGCTTCTAATTACTGAGGCACAAAATTTGACTTTTAGTGCCATACTGTGCCTTTTCTAGGAAGTTAAAGGTAGATTTAAGACAAATGGTAGGAAGGAATTAATATGTCAAAACATAGCTAAACTGATTAAAGCACTGAATTAATAAGCCATCATCTTTGTGCTTCAGATATTTATTATGGGTCTTATTGTCATGTAGTTACTCCCACAACCCCCAGCATAATTCTCTTGGGATTTTCAAGGACTGTTGAAGTTTTGTTTATGGGAGCTTGTCAAAGCAAAACTTCAGGTATGTGTTTGGCATTTAAAAGGTCTGGGAATGACTCATTTACGTCGTCGTCAACCACTCTTCAATTTAGACTCTAAGGCAGATTGATAGTATCTCAGAAAAGCCTGTATTTGAGTTGAAACTAGAAAAATGAATATAAGGTTTTTTAAGCTTTTAAAATCTAGCGCATTTATTTCAAGTAGTACATTTTTCTTTTACAGTTATTCTTCCTATGGAAATCAGGGCAACCAAGGTTATGGACAAGCACCACAAGTAGGTTAAAATAAAAATTGTGTTCTTCATAAATAGTTATTTTTATCATAAGTAGGTTATGAAACTTGTATTTACCCAAATTTCAGAGCTATTCTGGCTATGGACAGACTACTGATTCCTCATATGGACAGAACTATGGCAGTTATTCCAGTTATGGACAAAGTCAATCAGGTTAGACTGGTTTGTTAAATTTGTTACTTTAGAAATTAAAAATCTTAAACCTTTACTAAATTGTATATCCATCCAACCTTTAGGTTATTCACAGCCCTATGGTGGTTATGAGAGTCAAAAGCAGAGCTCATATGGCCAGCAATCTTATAATAACCAGGGACAGCAAAACACGGAATCATCAGGAGGGTAAGGAAACAGTTAAAAGCACTGAGATTGTGTTGAATAGTGGAAATACACGTAACACTTTGGGTATTAAATGGGTTTCATCAATAAACTCCTTAGCTACATTTTTTTCAGGCAAGTTTTGATGGATTATGGATCTCAGTTTTGTGTTATGAAGAATGTGGGAGTTGTCAGCATTATTTCTTAAGATGCGTTATTTGTAAAATTGTTTAGCTGTGAATAAACACACATGATCTTAAATGTTAAAAGAAAAATTTGGGCCTCTGCTTTATACCTGATGATTAGAAACTTACCTATAAAAAGAGACTTCTCAATGCTTTCAATGCTTATTTTACTTCCATCTTATTTTTTAACCATTTTCATTATTACCTTTTCAGGGACAAAAATATTGAAAAATGCCAAAACTTATATACATATTTCAGATAGCCTAAATGTTTTATTTGTTAATATAGGTAGGTAAATATTTACTAGCAAGTTTACAGATTTTATAGTTTTTTTAACTTTGAGATTTAAAGAGCCTGTAATTGTTACTAGTTTTAATAATAGCAAACTTACTTTTTAAAAAAATCGTGCTTTACATTTTGTGAAAAGCTTTTGCATTCCCTAATTTTTTGGTCCTTAAATGCCACTAGGTGATAATGTCAGTAATTATTCCCATTTTATAGAGGTAAAGAGAAGTTGTTAAGATTATATAGCCTGTTAAGTTAACACAGCTAAAAGATAAGGCAAAAACTGATGTCACTTGAGTTTTCTCTGTGTAGTAAAGAAAACCATTCTAAGTGAAATTCATTTAAATAAGAGCACTGGGGGAAGATTTTTGATGTCAAATTATCAGTCTTATAGATATGAGAGTGCTTTGAAAAGTAGAAAGTAGAGTACAGGTGTTGGAAATAATATCTAGAAAGCATGTTACATGAGAAGAAAGAGATTTTAAGCCCTGTTGGTTAGTTTTTAATTGAAGGAGAATTCCTTCTATAAGAATGCATTTTTGGAAGTGTGACATAAATGTAGACCAAAGAAATGTTAGATTTAGTTTGATAACCATTTTGAAGTGAAGTGCTATGGTTCTGACCATTGGTGTGTTGTGCTTTGGGTAGGGAAGTTGGGGAATATACTCATTTTTATTAGGTTGTTCTGGTCACGGTGTAGAATAAGATGTGACCTATTCAGTAATTATGAGACTTTCTTATACCCTTTTTTAAAGTAAGCATTAGAACGCAAATCCAATTAAGTGTTCCTTTCAACATTCCCATCTTGAGAGCAGGTAGTAGTTAATAGTCTTATTGCTCAGAACATACATAGAATTTTGTTTTTGAATTGCCAGAGATAGAGCAATCTCAGTATTTGGAAATAAGACTTCTTTTCAGATAAGAAATGCTTCCTTCTTATTACTGTTTTCTAAAATTTACTATCATTGAAGATACTTAGAAGAATGTACTAGGTTCTAAAGATAATTATAAGAAAATAGTCCCCAAAATATGAGGTAACGTTGTTAAAATTAAGTGATATAAAGCTGCTTAATGTAGCTATTAAAAGGATTTAGCACTTGTGGCATGTTTGTTAAAGAATGAGACATATTACTATACTTTGTGGCATGTTTAATTTTTTTTTTTCAAGGAGATAATCAAAAACCATAGTGATATTTTTACTTCACTAATGTTTTCAAAGGTGTGTATGTTTTTTCTCACAATGTGGTACCTCTTCAGGGATAGTGAAATTGTTTGAAGGTTATTCCATTGGTGATAAGGAGATTTTATAGATAAAAGAACTAAATGATTCTTACCAGAAAGTAGTAGTCAGTATGGTTGAGGTCTACTTAGTCAAGCCTCTTACATCAGTCTCAGTCATAGTAATTTTATTGAATCTCTCAAGTTCTTGATTTCTATTTAGCCAAAGTGGAAGACCGCCTTCCTATGACCAGTCAGACTATGGTCAACAAGATTCGTATGATCAGCAGTCAGGCTATGATCAACATCAAGGATCATATGATGAACAGTCAAATTATGATCAGCAGCATGATTCTTATAATCAAAACCAGCAGTCCTACCATTCACAAAGGGAAAATTATAGCCATCACACACAAGGTAAGATATGTTGACTTCCATTATTCCTGCCCTCCCTGCCACTGAAATTACTTTGGTATTGAATTTTGGTTTAAAAATTCACATGAGATTTCAACAGTTTATAAAAATTGACAGTGACCCTGAGAATATTTTCTTTCTCAAGGCCATCAAAGCTAGTTCATTAGATTTTTATTCCTAAACTTCGTGGAGACTCCCAAATGGTCACGTGACCTCAGAGGCTGATTACATTCATTTCCTTTGTTCTCTCGATCAGTTCTGTTAATTTTACATTGCTGCTGCTTCTGGTTCTTCTGGTAGTGGTGGTATACTTGATCTGGGGAAATTAATCTTATATTAGCCTTCTGTAATCTCCTCCAAGAAGGACCAGTCATTCTTTCACTGGTTTTTCTGTAGCACTTTTTACATACCACTGATATTTAGGAATCCGTCAATGCCAAGAAAATGGGTGTTTTAAGAACAAAAGTCCTGTCTTACTCATTTTTGTTCCATCCTTCCCTAGTACAGGGCTTGCTTCATAATGAGAACTCAATAAGTATTTGTCGAATAAGTGAATGATTACAAGTAGAAGCTCATTCATTGAATATCTCCTTCAGTGAATATATTCAGTTTGAAATATTCTGAATATTCAGTTTGAAAATCCAGTTATTCCTTCTTCATGCTTAATTTATATTTAAGTATTTTCAGGTGAAGAAAGTAATAACTTTTAAGATTAGGGTTATGCTTTTCATCTAATTTATTAGGGTCTGTACCTAATATGCTTTAACTCAAACTATTCGATATCCCATCACATCAAATGGAGATTCCTCATCATCATTTTGTATCTCACTTTAGCAGAATGGAATTTGACTCAGAATTCTCAAAACACATTTAATTCTAGCTGGTTTTATGATGACTTCTGTTTGAGTTCTGTATACATGTGCCATTTTCCAAAAGAAACAATCTATTATCTAGAGAGCCATTTAAGATTATAGTATGGGAAGTGTTTGTCAGAAATGAGAATAGTTATTTATGAATATATTATTTCTTTTTTATAGATGACCGTCGTGATGTGAGTAGGTATGGAGAAGATAATAGAGGATATGGCGGGTCACAGGGAGGAGGTAGAGGGCGTGGGGGATATGACAAGGATGGAAGAGGTCCTATGACAGGATCAAGGTAAGTATTTCAGTATAGGTGTCTACATTTCTTCTTTCTCTCTCTCTCATTTTGTTTTGTTTTATTGTTACTTAGCTGGTTTGATTCCAGTATCTAATTTAGTTAAGAGGCTTAAAGAGTTTATCTTGTAGAGGGGAGAAATTCAAATTTCATTTTGAGTTTTAAGATGTCACATAAATTACCCCAGAATAGGCTATGTTAGCAATTAATTTATGTGATGTATATTAAACACCAGTGGAGAAAAGTCCCCTACTATGATTATGGTTAAGCCACTTAACTATGTATTTCCTGCCAGAGCTATAAAATTTAAACTACTTTACAAGATGACTCTGGGAAATCCAAGTATTTTGTTTGTAAAAAATAAAAGGTAAGTTAATTCTAGATTGGAGGGGAGAGAGGCTATTCCTTAATTTTGAATCCCCTTGGGAAGGGAAAATATTAGGAAGCAATAGCAGGGTATGAAGGGGGGCTTGGCAAATGAGGGAAAGATTTTAATATAACTAAGTTATTTTTATCTTCTTAAGTAAATAATTATTGAAATAATTAGTGTAACATCACATACCGTGTGTATTTTATCTGGACTAAGCTATGGAAAGGGAAGGATTTTTTTAATTCAGTTTTTCTTTTCCCCATTGCTACTATTATCATATTTTGGTATTTACTTATGGTATAAGTTATAAAAGCTGGTTTTAAAGTAACTTTTAATAATATCTGTGAATGTAGCACTTTGACCCTTCTAGAAACAAGAATGCAAAAATAGTTGACATTTATTATCCTTGGATGAGGTTTGCAGGTTGCAAATTTGACAAATACATAGGTTTAAAAGACAATTCATGTTCCTTGGTAATTGAAATTATCAGTGGCCTATTAACTGACATTTAATAATAATATATCAGTATCAGTTCGTTCTTTTGCTCCTTAGGGACTCAGTGTCTGTCCTCCGAGATGACCTGAGAAACCAAACCAGTTGTATACAGCACTGTTATTTCTTCAAGTGAGCCAGGAATTTGATTTACTGACTTGTATTTCTCTGCTTACTGTGCTTTAATATTATGGCAGAACTTAATTTGATGAACTTCTATAAGACTTGAACATAAAGGCTTTTGATTGATAGCCGAAGTCAATTTATGAGGGTAAAACAAATATATTGTATACATCTTCATTATCAAAGAGAGCAGCCTACTGTCATGTGGGTATACTCAAATAGTGTAAAGTGATATGGTGCTTACTTTCTACCTAATAGCCTCCCTTCCACCTCAAACAGAATCCCAGACAGGATACCCAGCAGGTATATTTAATTTTCTTGTTAATATGTTTTAGATAATTGGCTGCCTTGGAATGCTACATATTTTATAGTACATCATAGGTTTCATTTTCTTCATAAGGAAGTTATATAGATTAACTGTTAAACTATGACAATATCTTACTGAGAATAGTAGAATCCCACTTTCTAGGAGGAAGAGGGTAATATTTTCATCTTGGCATTTGAAGTGTATTTTCATCTTTGAGAGATACTCATTGTAGAATCAGAGTTGGGAAGGACCTTGAATGATCATCCTGATAAGGGAGAGAAGGTCTGTACCTTAACCAACCCAAGAGTTTTGAAGCACTTTTAAACCACCTTGGCAGCACATTTTTTCACTGTATAATTTCTGGCCAGATACTGAATCATGATCTAAGTTTCTGGTTTTCAAATCTTTTTATTTAGCCATAGAACGTCTTCAAACAATGTCTTAGGCAGAAGCCCACTATATATAAGGTCAAAATGATGATGACCTGTTTCAAGTCAGGGTAGAATTGAGGGTGGAGTCTTGTCCAGTTACTGGGATGTTATGTCAGTTAATGGGATGTTATGAAAAGGTATTTTTTAGAAACCCATCTGGATAGTGATGATTACTCTCTGTTGGGTTGGTAAACTTTTTATTTGAAAGGCCACATAGTAATAATTTAAGTTTTATAGCCTATACAGATTCTTTTACAACTATTCAACTCTGCCCTTACAGCACTGAAGCAGCCATAGATAATATAATGAATAAAAACATGGTTGTGTTCCAGTAAAACTTCATTTATGGGTACTGAAATTTGAAGTTCACAGAATTTTCATGTGTCATAAAATCTTGCTCAAGATGTGCTTTTAGTTTATTTGTAGGGGTAAAGTATTTTGAATTTGAATAAAAATGCCATTTCAGGACTTTTTCACACTTGGTTTTATATTTAAGTACTAAAATAACCAAACATTTTTTGTCTTCATCAACACTCCCATTTGTGTTTCTAATCATCTTACTTAACAGCAAGGTTGAAAATACTCTTTTCAGGCTGTTTGAAGAGTATCTGGCTTTAGTGAGGGTTATATTTAAAGAAGAGGGGCCATAGTTTGTGGGTAAGGGTGGGATGTTCAGTAAAGGATGGGACATTCTAGATTCAGGTTGTGTGATTGCTTGGCTGGAGGAAGAATTCAGACCAAAAGGAAGCTGTTAGCTTTCTAGATATGGAAGAGAAATATGACTATTTTAAGGACTATAGGAAACAGTGTTTTTCTTTGAAAAAGCAGTTGCAGCAAAAAATACTGAATTTCTAATTGTCATCTAAACTTGATCACCAACCTCGTAGTAGACTAGCAGTTTAAGGCCATAAAGTCTCTCAGTGTTTTTAATTTCAGCATTGTGATGAGTGCTTTGCAAAATTGCCAGAGAACTTCCTAGATAACCATTTTTCACTTATAATATGTCATCACATTAAGTAGCTATTTCAGTCTTTAATATTTCAAACTTAAAAAAGGTTATCTTGAATTTTGAGTGTCTTCTTGCAAGAGTTTTTGATTAACTCTCTTAAAAGTGTGCATATATTCTGGTAATAGTCTATAACAGCATTACCCAATAGAAATATGATGTGGGTCACAAATGTAGGCCACATATGTAATTTAAAATTTTCTAGTAGCCACATTAAAAAAAATGAACTGGTGAAATTAATTTTAATATTTAGTCTAAAAATCCAAAATATTTTATCATGTAATCAGAATAAAAAATTCCTGAGATGATGTACATTCTTTTTTTCATACTAAGACTTTGAAATTTTTTTTTTGTATTTTACATTTAGAGTACATCTCAATTTTAATTGACTATCCACATTTCAAATATCAACAGCCACATGTGGCTAATGAATACTGTATTGAACCAGTGTAGCTCTAGAATGATAGATTGTTGACCTCCTGAAATGTTGGTAAGGGCTGAATCCAGAAAGCCTTTTACCACACATGTAAGACAAAGGAAATGCACCGTAAATACAGCCACTGTTGATAATGGTACCTAAATCCATTGAGTCATTCATATTTGGAATTAATGTTAGTCTTCTTCACACCCAGAAAATTGTATCTTGGGTGTATTAGTATGAAAACTGAAGCACAGCAGTTTTTTTTAAAAAAACTAATTTTTGTTAGTTTTTAGCTAAGTCCCTTTTTCTCTCCAGATACTGAATTTTCTCGGAGTAGATTCCTGCATGTCCTTTTACTTCTTGGCAGTTTTAGTCCTTGGATAGATATATTTAGATTTTATTACATTAAAGTTTGGAAATAGAGATTGTGTCAAAGAGCTTTTTCTCATTTGTCAATTACCTGAAATTAAATCTGTCTTCACCTGTAAATATGTACAACAATGAAAGAACCCTTAGAGCCTACCCTGGAATAGGCTGCCCATTGTGGTTTTGAATTTGGAACAACCATTTCAGTAGTTGAGTCTGGAATATACAATTGTTTTTCTTACCTGGAGGTATTCAGTTGTTAATTTGAGTATGCTTATATTTTATCTTTAATACCTCTACCACTTCACCTTAAAATGTTCTTACTTCAGGAATTATGTATGTCTGTAAGTTTGCTTCTTTTTTGTGGGAGGAAAACAGATTTGTTGTGGCAACACCTTGACTCATGATTTTTTCCTTTGTGCCTTGTCTTAATTTGCTAGTGAGGGCTTGATTTAGTAGATGGAAAAGGGACTTGGAATTTGACTGCCGGTTTGGAAAAAAGTTAACCATAGGGCCCATCCATCTTCTGTTAACTATTTGATAGTGAGTACTACTTACAGTTTATTTACTGTATTTAATATACATTTCCTAATAAGGGATTGTAATATAACTAGTTAATATGAAATTTCCCTATAAGGAGAGAGAAAATGATGAAACATTTGAACTTGAAAGAAAGCTTCATGTGGAATTGTAGATCATTTAGATCAATACTTCTCAAACTTTAATGTTTGTAACAATTTCTTGGGGATCTTAATTAAAATGCAGATTCTGATTTAGTAGTTCTGGGGTAAGGCCTGAAATCCTACTTTTCTGAGGCACTCCCAGGCTTTGCCTATGCTTCTGTTCCATGGACCATTCTTTGAGTAGCAAGGATGTAAACTCTTTGTAAAGCAGGGAACTTAAGCCCAGGGAGAATTGCATGACTTGTCCAAATTTTCAAGATTGGTTGGTAATAGTTGGTCTATATCCTCAGTGTTAGTTTGAAGACTAGTACTTTTTTGAATGCACCCTGGTGTTTCCATATTTATAACTATTGTAAATCTTCAGCTACTGTGTTTTCAAAGGAAATACCCAGTAAAGATGACTTAAGTTAAAGTGTCACTGTTAAGGAATAAGAAATTATAAACCTAATGTCATTTGTTTCATATCCCTTTTATTTTGCAGTGGTGTAGCCTTTCTTTAATTGTTCAAAATTGTATTGCTGGCCAGAATAGAAATTATAGGAGTTAGCTGATGTGTGAAATTGCATATTTTCTCCTCTGTTGTGGTCACATAAGTAATTTACTACTTTGTTAAGATGACTGCAAAATAATAAGAGGTATTTGAGCATTTGTGAAAATTTCCTATTTAAAAAAATCTACTTATCTTGGTGACTTTAACCTCCTGACATAGGATTGGCTTAATATTTTCACTAGTTCTTGTCTAATCATTTTTTGGAGTTCTAGTGATTTGTGAAGAAACCTGAGATATCTTGGTTTCTAATAAGATTTTTAGCAGTTTAATCTCAAGCACTCTCTTGGCTTCCTCTTGAAGAGTTAAGTATTGATATATATAGGTTGTTTAGAAGTGTAGGGAGGGCTTAGGTACTGTTCTGAAGAGGGGTCTTAGTGACTCAGTGGAAAGAAAACTATATGTGTATGTGTATGAAGGATCTGAGCTGCACATTGTCTATATATCCTTGAAATAGCCTCTTTTGGCTTCCTGGAGATCAAATAAAGTTAGTAGCAAATTAAGATGTATATGTCTAATACTTAAGCTGGTTGCAGGGGAAAATTTTTTTATATCATGGTAGTAGACTAGATTTATTACAAAGAACGAATGCATCCTCATTTAGTCTGAGGTTTTTCTCAGGATGGCTCAGAGAAGCCATCTAGAGTTACCACTAAAAGAGAGGCCTTTAGGCAGGGAAGAGACATTAGTATATTGGATTAATTTTTTGGATCATAGAAGAAGATGATTAGTAGTAGCAAAAGATGAGATACCACCATTTGAAAATTTGGGGTGTTTTTATTTCCATGTCATCACATGAATCTTAGAGGATTACTTAATTCAATCAAGAGAGAAAACCTTTTAATGTATGAATATTTAAAGAATTTCTTGATAAGAGAGATCTTAGACTTCTTATATAAAACTATACACACAAGAACCATTGACTTATCTGGCTATGGAAATTTGCCAAATAAAGTCATTTTCTTATGGGCAGCTGCAGTTTTGGGAGTATGTTGTTTTCTGTCTCTGATATGGTCTACTGATCGGTGTACAAAGCTTTTGGCAGCATGAATCTCAGTAGCTCTGATGTGAAGAGATTAAGTATGTTCTATGCAGTAGGGTATGCAGTAGGAGGGCAGTTTTTTAAGTTAACGCTTTTAGTGCTCATCAGATTTCTGAATGATTTGAAATTTGAAGACTGCTTTCATTTAGGTTTCCTTTGTGTATATTTGTACCTTACTTTTTTCTTCCATCTCATAAAATCTATTTGGTGTCACAATAGAATGTAGTACTCAAGTATTTTGCTCTCCTGTTCTACTAGCAAAATCTTAACCTTATTTTATATTGTCCTTGTAGTCTTTTTCCTTTTTCTCATGTTTTAAAAGCTATCCCCTTAGGAAGAATATTCTAGTTTAGCATTCTTCATGCTGTGCCTCCAGCTTTAAGTTACAATTTAAATAGTACTACTTTGGCTTGGGGTTGGGAAGGTTTTATAGTAAGTGTGTATTAGAGATGTTTTGCAATGAGCTTGAAAAGGCACCCTAGTGGAAATAGATCCTAAGAAAACAGATGAGAGATTCCACATGAGATGGAATTTACTAGAAAGTTAGAGGTGCTACTGTTTCGTAGGTGCTCTACTTAAGTGTAGAATTGAGCCCAGGGCTCAGCACATTGGAGACTTAAGGAAGAAATCATTTCTTCAATTTTTCCTCTGCAGTGGTGGTGACCGCGGTGGCTTCAAAAATTTTGGTGGTAAGTGCTGAGTATCCCAAAATGTTTCAGTGGAAATGCTATATAAATCTAAAAGCCACCAATATCTCGCAGACGCAGTCTATGCCCTTTCTTACTCTGTTGAGGCTGGTGTGTGTTGTGTGCTTTAAAAAGAAAATTACATATATACACCTGTATATATCAGAGAAAACATTAAAAAGCCAAAGTTGATATCAAATAGTCCGATGAGTTTCTACACAATGAATTTGCATGACAGAGTCTGTTGTGACCAATGAATGAAACCTTCACTGGATTTTGACAATACATTTCTTAAATAAAGGTAGTTGACATGGTGTTTTTAAATTATTAGGGCATTCCAATCAGCCTTCACAACCAGAGCTTAACAAAAGTGATACTAGTAATGCCAAAGTGGTGGGTGCCGTCTGGGACAAGTTTAAGGAAATACTGACATTCATCTTGATTTCTTAAACTTTTAATAAAACCTAATTTATATATTTACTTCATTAATCTGTGATGGTTGACTTTCAAGGATTTTGGAATTAATGACTTTTCATGTCTTGGTTATTATTACTATTTTTAAATGATTTCTAATGAGTTGCCTTAAATAGCTGTTTTTTTCTTTTTCTTTTCTTTCCCTTTAGGTCACAGGGATTATGGACCCAGACCAGATGCTGGTAAGGCTTATGGTAGTTTGTGACTTTGCCATTAAGAGAATGTTAGTTTTCCATTTTTCTGAAGGAAAAGTCTTTTTGTTTGGAGGAGTTAGTAGTACAGAAGGAAAATTTTACTTTGATAGTGCTGCCAGAATTGGGGGCTAAAGACATACCAGAAAGAAAAATTCAGAAAGATTGGGAAATTTGCTGGGGAAAATTGCCTATTTGTGTTTCCCCATGCTCTGCTTTTTTCTTTTGTGAGGAAATACTTGATTCTGTACTGCTAATTAGTGTTTATTTAATTGTTACAAATCATATTTGCAACAACTGGTATCACTGGATAATTTGAAAAGCAGTGTTAAAAAAAATACTACATTAGATTAGTAGTCTGCTTAGTGGGTCTAAGAATTCATATGTAAGAGAATTGTCTTACTCTAGGCAGAGGTCAGTAATTTCATGTGGCCTTTTATTTTAAATGAAATTCAAGGCTACCCTGGAGGCTTTTGAAAGTTATGATTTATAGATTAAAAATCTATTTGAGCCAACAAATTTTAATATATATTGAAATCAGAACTTCTGTTTTTATTAAGATGCCAAAGTATTCTATATGGATGGCAATTTCTGAATTATCCCTTGATGGACTGAATTTTTGTACATCTTTCTTACTTTGTTGTACTAATCCAAAAGTGTGCGTGTAAGGTAAGGTGTGTTGTCAGGGAGTCCCAGCCCTCTGGTATATATAAAGCTTACTGCAGTGAGTGGGAAACTAGCAATTCTGCTTGGCTTGCTTGCAAATCCGAAGTATCAGATTTGGGGAATTTTCTCCTAGAGAGCCTTTAAAGTATTGATTAACCATAAAGAATTAAAGCTTTCCAAAGAAAGGAATGCTAGTTTATACTAACTTCCTTTATCTCTTCATTAGTTTTAGTCCTGTATCTGAATCTGAAGAGTAAGATTTGTAGGATGTCCCTTAATTGGTTTGTGTATTTCACATAAGTGTGAATTTGATCCACATCACCAGAAGTTGAGTTGTAAAAGTTGATCTTCTGCCAAATAACTATTGTGACCATTTTGCATGTTTATGTAAGATTTTTCATATGTTTTTAAAAGGACCCTTTTCCTTTTAGTCGTAGAAACATTTGGAGATTGTATAAGTTTTCCTCTTGATTACTAAACAGGATGTAGTTAAAACCAAGAAATATGTAAAATTAACTATAATTTTTTCCCCCTTAGATTCAGAATCTGATAATTCAGATAACAACACAATCTTTGTGCAAGGACTTGGGGAGGGTGTGTCTACAGATCAAGTAGGGGAGTTCTTTAAACAAATAGGAATTATCAAGGTGAGTAAAAAGCATGGCTTATGTTGAAAATCTCTTAATTATTAAGAGTTTCTGTTTAAGATACATAGATTATGTAATGTGCCCATACTCCAGTAAGGCTTGTTTCTTCTGTTCCCAGATAAATACACTTGCCCATGTCAGTAGGCCTTTGCTAAATATGCTAATAACATGAGGATTTTATTCCTTGTTCCTGCTCACCTTTCCATAGCATTCCACAGTTTTAGCTTTCAGCTTAGGGCTATAAAAGTAGTCTCTGTAGGTTCTAAAATTCTGAGGCCCGTAATGAGATTGTGAGGACAACTTACAGATTCTGGAATGTTAATATATGCAAACCGAAGTAACAACTTTTTATTTTGTTAATGTCTGAGCTATGCACCAGCCCAATGTATAATGCTTCATTTCATAAGTTTATTGTTTATTGTTTACTAAAGGGTTTTGTGTACTACTTATTTCATGCATATGTTTTTCATTTGTTCAACTAGAAAGCAGCATTTAGAGCAGTGTTAGTAGATTGTTGCATTTGCCCAAAAATCCGTTTTTCAATTGTCCTTCTTTTGGTGCCTGGAAAAAAGTTTTTTTCTTCATGGGATTAAATTTTCTTAAAAAATTAATTACACAGGAAATAGTAAAAAAATCATACAGTTATGAAAAGTAGAAATAATTCTTTGTCTTCCACTCCCATCCTAGTCAAATCTAGTGTGTACTTTTCAATGCTAATCTTTTGGTTTGCTGGGTACATTCTTCCTGACCTTTTTAATGTTCTATACAAGGTATATATTGCATGAAGCAATATCTACTTTTATTTTTTTATGGGTTTAAAAAATTATACATCGATGAAATAGTATGTTATGTATCATTTTTATAGCTTGGTTGAGTTTTCCTGTTCAGAACCTATAGATAGATTCATTTATAAATATTAGGTGCATAGTATTTGTTGTATGGATGTGTGGATTCTTTTCTAAAAAAGATCTATATGGTTCATGATCACTTTTTCTTAAAATGCTAACACCAGTTTGTTTGTTCCTCAGACCAACAAGAAGACAGGAAAACCAATGATAAATCTATACACAGATAAGGACACAGGGAAGCCAAAAGGGGAGGCAACAGTATCATTTGATGACCCTCCTTCAGCTAAGGCAGCCATTGACTGGTTTGATGGTATACCTCATTCATACAGTTTCAGCATGCAGTGTGGATACATGTTTTTTCTTTTGTAAAGTATCAATGATATACAATTTTATGTTGGTTTCAAATATACAACACAGTGATTTAACAGTTTCCCATATTACTGAATCCTCACCCCCTTGAAGGTGGTCTCTGTCAGCATAGTAAGATGTTACAGAATAGTTAACTGTATTGTCCGTGCTGTACTACCACCCCAGTGACCAGCTATTGTGATTGCAAATTATTGTGCCCTGTATCCGTTACCCCTCTCATCCCACACACCCCAACCCCTCCCCCTTGGTAACCACTAGTCTCTTCTCGGTGTCTGTGAGTATGCTGCTATTTTGTTCCTTCTGTTTTGCTTTGTTTTTATACTCCACAAATAAGTGAAATCATACAGTATTTGTCTTTCTCTGCCTGGCTTATTTCACTGAGCATAATACCCTATAGATCCATCCATATTGCTGTGAATAGCAGGATTTCTTTTCTTTTTATGGCTGAATAATATTCTGTTGTGTATGTGTACCATGTATTTTTTATCCTTTCATCTACTGATGGACACTTAGGTTGCTTCTGTATCTTGGCTACTGCAAATAGTGTTGTGATAAACATAGGGGTGCATATGTCTTTCTGAATCAGGGATTTTGTTTTCTTCATAAATTCTTAGGAATGGAATTACTGCATCAAATGGTATTTCTATTTTTAGTTTTATGAGGAACCTCCATACTGCTTTCCACAGCAGTTGCACCGGTTTGCATTCCCACCAACAGTGTAGGAGAGTTCCCATTTCTCTGCATCCTCACCCGCATTTGTTGTTTCTTGTCTTTTGGATAGTGGCCATCCTAACTGATGTGAGGTGATATCTCATTGTTTTTTTTTTATTAAGGTATGATTGATATACACTCTTATGAAGGTTTCACATGAAAAAACAATGTGGTTACTACATTTACCTATATTATCAAGTCCCCACCCATACCCCAGTGCAGTCACTGTCCATCAGTGTAGTAAGATGCCACAGATTCACTGTTTGCCTTCTCGGTGCTACACTGTTTTCCCTGTGACCCCCCACGCCATGTGTACTAAACATAATACCCCTCAATCCCCTTCTCCCACACCTCTCCCCTTTGGTAACCACTAGTTCCTTCTTGGAGTCTGTGAGTCTGCTGCTATTTTGTTCCTTCAGTTTTGCTTCATTGTTATACTCCACAAATGAGGGAAATCATTTGGCACTTATCTTTCTCCACCTGGCTTATTTCACTGAGCTTAGTATCCTCCAGCTCCATCCATGTTGTTGCAAATGGTAGGATTTGTTTGTTTCTTATGGCTGAATAGTATTTCATTGTGTATATGTACCACATCTTTATCCATTCATCTACTAATGGACACTTAGGTTGCTTCCATATCTATCTCATTGTGGTTTTAATGTACATTTCCCTCATGATTAGCTATGTGGCACATTTTTTCATGTGCCTGTTGGCCATCTGTATTTCTTCTTTGAGGAAGTGTCTGTTCAGATCCTCCACCCATTTCTTAGTGGGGTTATTTGTTTTTTGGGTGTTGAGATGTAGGAACTCTTTATGTATTTTGAATGTTAACTCCTTATCAGATGAGTCATTTATGAATATATTCTCCCATACTGCAGGGTGCCTTTTTGTTCTACTGACAGTGTCCTTTGCTGTACAGAAGCTTTTTAGTTTGATGTAGTTCCACTTGATCATTTTTATTTTGTTTCCCTTGCCCGAGGAGATATGTTCAGGAAAAAGTTGCTCATGCTTATGTTTAAGAGATTTTTTTGGCCTGTTTTTTCTTCTAAGAGTTTTATGGTTTCATGACTTACATTCAGGTCTTCGATCCATTTTGAGTTTACTTTTGTGTATGAAGTTAGACAGTAATCCAGTTTCATTCTCTTACATGTAATTGTCCAGTTTTCCCAACACCAGTTGTTGTTGAAGAGACTTTTTTCCATTCTATATTCATGGCTCCTTTATTGTATATTAATTGACCAGATATGTGTGGGTTTATATTTGGGCTCTCTATTCTGATCCATTGATATATGGGTCTGTTCTTGTGCCAGTACCGAATTGTCTTGATTACTGTGGCTTTGTAGTAGAACTTGAAGTCAGGGAGCGTAATCCCCCAACTTTATTCTTCCTTCTCAGGATTGCTTTGGCTATTCGGGGTCTTTTGTGGTTCCATCTGAATTTTAGAACTATTTGTTCTAGTTCATTGAAGAATGCTGTTGGTATTTTGATAGGAATTGCATTGAATCTGTAAATTGCTTTGGGCAGGATGGCCATTTGACAATTAAGTCTTCCTATCCATGAGTACAGGATAGATTTCTGTTTATTGGGTGTCTTTAGTTTTTCTCATGAGTGTCTTAGAGTTTTCAGAGTAAAGGTCTTTCACCTCCTTGGTTAAGTTTATTCCTAGGTGTTCTATTATTTTTGAAGCAATTGTAAATGGAGTTGTTTTCCTGATATCTCTTTCTCTAGTTCGTTGTTAATATATAGGAATGTGACAGATTTCTATGTATTAATTTTGTATCCTGCAGCTTTGCTGAATTCAGTTATTCTAATACTTTTTTGGCAAGTCTTTATTTCTACATATAATACCATATCACCTGCAAATAATGATGGTTTAATTTCTTCCTTACCAGTTTGGATGCCTTTTATTTCTTTGTGTTGTCTGATTGCCATGGCTAGGACCTCCAGTAATATTTTCAATTAAACTGGGGAGAGTGGGCATCCTTGTCTTGTTCCTGATCTTAGAGGAAAAGCCTTCAGCTTCTTGCTGTTAAGTATGATGTTGGCTGTGGGTTTGTTGTGTATGGCTTTTATTATGTTGAGTTATGTACCCTCTATACCCATTTTTGTTGAGAGTTTTAATCATGGATGGATGTTGAATTTTGTTGAATGCTTTTTTAGTATCTATTGAGATGATTATGTGATTTTTGTCTTTTTTGTTAATGTGATATATGATATTGATTGATTTATAAATACTGTACCATCCTTGCATCCTGGAATAAATCCTACTTGGTCATGATGGATGATCTTTTCGATGTATTTCTGAATTTGGTTTACTAATATTTTGTTGAGGATTTTTGCATCTGTGTTCATCAGGGATATTGGTCTGTAATTTTCTTTTTTTTGTGGTGTGTTTGTCTAGTTTTGGTATTGAGTGATGCTGGCCACGTAGATGATTTTGGAAATATTTCCTCTTCTACTTTTTGGAATACTTCAAGGAGGATGAGTATTAGCACTGCTTTAAATGTTGTATAAAATTCAGCTGTGCAGCCATCAGGACCTAGCATTTTGTTTTTATGTAGTTTTTTGATTACCAGTTCCATTTCATTTCTGGTAATTGGTCTGTTCAGATTTTCTGTTCCTCCCTGGATCAGTCTTAGGTGGTTGTATTTTTCTAGAAAGTTGTCCATTTCTTCTAATTGTCCAATTTATTAGCATAGTATTCTTCTAGGTTGTCCAATTTATTAGCATAGTATTCTCTAATAATTCCTTGTATTTCTGTGGTATCCATAGTGTTTTTCCTTTCTCATTTCTGATTCTGTTTATATGTGTAGACTCTCTTTTTATTGATAAGTCTGGCTAAGGATTTATCTGTTTTGTTTATTTTCTCAAAGAACCAGCTCCGGTTTCATTGATTTTTTTTTTCTATTGTTTTACTCTCTATTTTGTTTATTACTGCTCTGATCTTTATTATGTCCTTTCTTTTACTGACTTAGGGCCTCATTTGTTCTTTTTCTGGTTTCATTAATTGTGAATTTAGACACTTCATTTGGAATTGTTCTTGTTTCTTGAGGTAAGCCTGGATTGCTTGCTATGTATTTTCCTCTTAGAACTGCCTTTACTGCATTCTGCAGGTTTTGAACTGTTGAATTGTTGTTTTCATTTGTCTCCATACATTGATCTCTGTTTTAAGTTGGTCATTTGATCCATTGATTATTTAGGAGCATGTTGTTAAGCGTCCATGTGTTTGTAGGCTTTTTTGTTTTCTTTGCATAATTTATTGCTAAGTTTCATACCTTCTGAGAAGCTAGTTGGTACAATTTCAATCTTTTTGAACTTACTGAGGCTCTTTCTTTGGCCTAGTATGTGATGTATTCTGGAAAACATTCCATGTACAGTTGAAAAGAATTTTTAGCCTACTGCTTTTGAGTGGAATGTTCTGTAGCTGCCTGTTAAGTCCATCTTACCTAGTGTATTGTACAGTGCCTCTGTTTCCTTACTATTTTCTGTTGGTTGATCTGTTGATGTGGGTGATGTTAAAATCTCCTAAAATGAATGTGTTGCAATCTGTTTCTCCCTTTAATTCTGTTAGTGTTTGTTTTACATATTTAGGTACTCCTATATTGGGTGCATAGATACTTAATACTGGTTGTATCCATTACATACATTATGTAATGTCCTTCTTTGTCTCCTGTTACTTTCTTTGTTTTGAAATCAATTTTGTCTGATATGAGTACTGCTACTCCAACTTTTTTCTCCCTCTTATTTTATTTTTCCATCCCTTCACTTTTAGTCTATGTGTATGTCTTTGGGTCTGAAATGAGTCTCTTGTAGGCAGAGGCAGCATATAGATGGTCTTGTTTTTTCATCCATATTTAATCCATTCTGCCACTCTGTGTCTTTTGATTGGTGCATTCAGTCCATTTACATTTATGGTAAATATTGTAGAATGTACTTATTGCCATTTTATTAATTGTTTTCTGGTTTTTATATCTCCTCTCTTCCTTTTTTCCTCTCTTATACTCTTGTTATTTGATGGATTTCTTTAGTGTTGTGACTTTATCTTTTTCTGTTTTTTCTCTGTCCCCCTCTTTCTTTCTCCCTTTCTCCCTTTCTCTTCCTTCATACCCCACTCTCTCACCCTTTTCTCTTTCTCCGTTTCTCCCTCGCTGTCTATTATAGGCTTTAGTTTTGTGGTTACCAAAGTTTCAAGAATAGCTTCCTTACTATGTGACCGTCTATCTTAAATTTGCTGAATATTCTGTTTCAGACACAATTTGTAGGTACTGTTTTCTTTTCCTTCTCCATACTTTATGTATTAGGTATTAGATGTCATAATCTGCACTTTTTGTGTCCCTTGGCTGATTTTGTGAGTAGTTGATTTTGCTTCTTTTGTTTTAATTTCGTGCTTGCTTGGTAATTAATTGGTCTGTTACCTTTACTGTGGGTTTCTTTTCACTGGTGAAAGCTATTTAGCCTTAGGAACATTTCCATCTACAGCAGTCTTTTTAACATATCCTGTAGGGCTGGCTTAATGGTGGTGAATTCCTTCAACTTTTGTTTATCTGAAAATTGTTTAATTCCCTGCTTTAAATTTAAATGATAATCTTGTCAGGTAGAGGATTCTTGGTAGAAGGTGTTTCTCTTTTATTACATTAAATATATCATGCCACTCCCTTCTGGCTTGTAAAGTTTCTGTTGAGAAGTCTGCTCATAGCCTGATGGGGTTTCCTTTATGAGTAATCTGTTTTTCTCTCTGGCTGCTTTCAGTACTCTCTCCTTATCCTTGGTCTTTACCATTTTAATTATTGTATGTCTTGGTTTGTCTTCCTAGGGTTCCTTTTATTAGGAGCTCTCTTTGCAGCCATGACCTGAGTCTTTTCCTTGCCCAGGTTGGGGAAGTTTTCAACAATTATTTCCTTAAAGAGACGTTCTATTCCTTTGTCTCCCTCTTCTTCTGGTCCCCTGTTAGGTGAATATTGATTCTTTTTTCTGTCTGTTTTTTGGCTTATTTTCTGATTCCCTAATTTCCGTTTCATTTACATCTTCAGCCTGTGATACTCTACTATTAAATCCCACCATTGTGTATTTCATTTCAGATAATATATTCTTCTGCTTTGAGTGGCTCTTTTGTAGGTCTTCTTTTGTTGAAGTCCTCCCTGAGATCTTGAATACTTTTCTGTAGATCCGTGAGCATCTTTATGACTTTTACTTTGAAGTCCTTATCAAGAAGCTTGGTGATTTCTGTTTCATTCAGTCCTCTTTCTGGTGTTTTGCTTGTAGTTTTGTTTAGAATGTATTCCTCTGCCGCCTCATTTTGATAGGGTTTCTGTGTTTCTTCCTGTGGAGTAAAGCTTAATGAAGGAGGTGCCCTCTAGTGCCCAGAAGTTCAAGACTTCCCATTGTGGGAGCCCCAGCTGTTGGTGTGCAGGGAGGGAGCCACCTCTCTGTCTGGCTTGTAGCAGTCTGATTCTAGGTGATTAGTTTGCTTTGCTGCACCTTTGTGATCAGTGTGGAAGTGTCTGCTGGAGTTGCTTTGGGCAGGGCTGCCCTCTGCCTGGCTTGCAGCAATAGTGGTGGCTGCAGGGTTAATGGAGTGGGTGGGCTGTTGTGTGGCTCTACCCAGGCGTGTCACACAGGACCTTCTGCCTGCAGGGAGGAAGGAACTCTTGGGGCTGCCTCTGCAGACACCTCTCTGGTTGGGCTGAAACAGAGTCGAGAAAGCTGGGAGTGTCTCCCTGTGCCTAGTAGGCAGCAAAGTTTGACACTACTGCTGGGCCAAGTGGGTTGTCTGCCAGTCACTTGCTCAAGGAGGAACCTTGGGGCTCCATTGCCAGCAAGCGGGTAGAGCATCTGGGTTCCAGAGTTCCTGATCTCTTGGGCTGAGGGTGGGCTGGGGAGGTACTGTCCACTTGCCTTTCTCCTGAGCAGAGAGCTTTGTCTAACACTCACCCCTCTGGCACCCCTCCTGCTGCTGGGAAGTCTTTCAGACTGCCTTCTTTGCTTTTGTCTGAGGGGGACTGGGACTGGTAGACTCTGCCTGTTCTCCACAAGTGGCTGGGATTTCAGCCTCCCTGAGTGTTCTGCCTGTCTTTGTTGTCCAGCCCTGCTAATCACCAGAATACCACGTAATGCGGGCTCGTGCTCCTGGAGCAGATCTCCAGAGCCAGGTGTTCAGTGATCCTGGGCTCCTACCCACTCCCTGCTCTGTTCCTCTTTCTCCTGCCTGTGGGCTGGGGTGGGGGGAAGGCTTGGGTCCCGCTGGATCAACTTTGCCACATTACCTTTTCTGAGGTCTTCTCTTCTTCCCCAGATGTAGTCTGTTTTGCAGTGTTCAGGTTGTTTTTGGGTTTAGCTATGTTTGCTGTATTTTCATGTTTTATGTGTTTTTTGGAGGAAGTTTCCACCTTGCCTTCCTCTGCCATCTTCCTGCCCGCCCCCCATACATGTTTTCTAGTCTTCAAGTCAAAATATGTTGTAGTAGACAGTTGTTATTTTCATGTTTACTTTTGCAAATATTAAGCCAGAATTTTTATATACTGTTAGAAATGACATGAGCTCTCTCCTTGTTTGTTTTCTGTTGAGGCCATAGAGATGCAGAGAGTTGGTCAGGTTGAGTCTGTAGTCTTTTTGAATTTCCCTTTAGAATTTCATAAATAAGTGCAACATGATGACAATAAAGAAAAAGATTGGCAAATAAAAAGTTTAATTTCCCTTCAAATACAAAGTTAATACCTACTTAGAAGAAATATTAAGACTTTTTTTCCCCTGAAAATAGGAAAATATGGGAAAGAGGAAGAAAGGAGTAAAACATCCAAAGTTATTTACTGAGAGATAATCACTGATAATATTTTTAACTTCCAGCCTTTTAAAATTATTTTTAAAAATATTTTATCATTATACCCCAAATGTAGTTTTGTCTCATGCTTTTTTTACTTAACATTTTAACATAATCATCTTATGTTATTATAAAACCATTGTTTTTGCTGTTCTCTAATAATAAGAATTAACACTATGTGTTTCTAAGAACTTTATATGCATTAACTCATTTTGATCATTGCAGCAACCCTATGAGACATGTACCCTATTACTACCATTTTACAGATGATGAAAATGAGGCACAGAGAAGCTAAGTAATTTCCACGATCACAGAGTAAGAGGCAGAGTCAGGATTCATACTCAAGGCAGTCTGGCCCTACCATCTCTGGCATGTCTTAACCGGACTAGATTGACAAGACACTTGAGGTTCCTTCCAGTTTTGAGGTTATTTCACCTGTATCTTCCAAGAACATAATTTCATTTCTGTATTTTTTCAGAAACAAGATTGGGATACCCTGTCTGTCCTCACCACCGTGTTCTTTAGTTTTTTGCACTGATCTGTCAGGCCCTGTTATCTTGCTCTTGACAACTAGGTCATTCCTCACTTTTTTGCTTTTTTCATAGTTCCTGTGAATCACAAAGTAATTTCTTCTGCTCACGATATGTTCAAAAATTATTCTGCCTTTCACCACCAGGGCATATGAGCCTAACTGCATAGTTCAGATCTTAACCAGGTCTTTTTACAGCTTTCAGAATATTGATCTATGTGTTGCTTCCTGTGTCAAAGTGCTTGTCACACCATTTGACATCATGGAAAGTTGCCAGCTATGATGATTAGGGCTTTGGTCAGGGAGGTGGGGCTCCTGGATTTAGAACCATTTTTATGAATCCTTAGGCAAATTTTCCCTTATGTCACTTCTCTTGTTCAATATAAAGCAAAAAGATGAATTCTCTTTTCTAAAGCTCTGGGGCAGCAGAATATGTGTATATGTGAATGTATGTAAGTAATCATGTGTGTACACATTACTTTTAAGGATACTATTTGCATATGGGGAAAAAATTTCAAACAGTATCAAGAGTATATAGTAAAAAATGAGTTTCTTTATACCTTTGACCTTCAGTGATGTTATTTCCCTTCATTGAAAGTTAGGCATGATAGTGTTTTGTACAAGTATATGTATGCATGTATCAGTATAAGTGAGCATTCATGAGTCCCACCCCACCTCCATACACACTCAATGCCTTTAGATAACAAATGGTAGCATGTTATACACATTGTTCTGTACTTGCCTTTTTCCTGTAAAAATTTTAAATGATTTTGTTTTGTTTTGTTTTGCTTTTTTTACTTAGTAAGAAGTGACTGTCTCCTAGCGACAGATCTGCTCTATTCAGTAGACTGTGTCATTTTTTAGCACTTTTATTTACCTTGACTCTGGAACACTAGTGTGAATTTCTGTGAAGACATGTCGTTTATTCCTCTGAAATTAAAAATTTTGAAGACAGGTTTATATTTTTTTGACAGGTGAAGATGTGGAATAGTATTTCTTCTAAACCGTTTTCTTTTTTCTTAGGAAAAGAGTTCCATGGCAATATCATTAAAGTGTCCTTTGCCACCAGAAGACCTGAATTCATGAGAGGAGGTGGAAGTGGAGGAGGTCGGCGTGGTAAGATACTTGTTGCTCACAGGCCAGGATATTATGCAGAGGGTTTGAATTTGAGTCCTTACCGTATGAACAGTTATCTTTTTCTCCTCCTAAGATAGAAGACCTTATGTCTTACAGTGAGAGTGGGTACTAAATAGGAGTTTGGGTGAATAAGGTGTCAAGATAGTGAAAGTAGATTCTAGAAATCCCTTTGGAAAGCTGCACAGCAGTTTGTTGTTACTCTTGAAATCAGGAGGCAGTTGTTTAAGTAATACCTAATTAGTAGTTAATCTTACTGGTTTGTAAGTTTCCTGGTAGGATTACTGCCAGCTTGTTTGTTTCTATTTTGTCTAATTCCTTCAATATGGAATATGTCTTCTCACTTAACGTTTATCACTGAGATCCTCAAACTAAGAAGGGTATTATAGAAAGTGGACTTTGAAGGTTTTTAATGCATTACCTACACTGTAGTGTGTACCTGGGATCTTTTCCCACCTTTCCTGCATTTATGAAGTAAAGCCCCAAATCAAAGAATCACAGAATCCTACCACAGGCATTGGTTTTGGGGAAGCCACCCAGTTATTGATGGCTACTTGCTTAGTTCTTTAATCTAATGCTTTTCCTCTGCTTTGTTAATGTCTACACTGATTTTTCTCCTCTCCCTGCTGCTTCCCTCAGGTCGTGGAGGGTATAGAGGCCGTGGAGGCTTTCAGGGAAGAGGTGGAGATCCCAAAAATGGAGACTGGGTTTGTCCTAATCCGTAAGTATCCCATTTTACTTTGGTGGAAGTAGGATTTGGGATTGGGGTTGGTCAGTGCAAGAGGGGGTTCTGAATTGGTTGGGAGGTATTGAGGAGCATTTTATTTTCCTCCTTTCTCAGGTCATGTGGAAATATGAACTTTGCTCGAAGGAATTCCTGCAATCAGTGCAATGAACCCAGACCAGAGGACTCTCGTCCCTCAGGAGGAGGTAGGTCAGCCTTTTGGGTAAGTTTTTTAACAATATTTACATGACAACTTATCTTCTGACTAGCATTAAGAAGGCTTTACATTATTCTGCTGGCCTCATTGGTTTGCATTTCTACATTGCAGATTTCCGGGGAAGAGGCTACGGTGGAGAAAGGGGCTACAGAGGTCGTGGGGGCAGAGGTGGAGATCGAGGTGGCTACGGTTCAGACAGAAGTGGAGGTGGTTATGGTGGAGACAGAAGTGGCAGCGGTGGCTACGGAGGAGATAGAAGTGGGGGTGGCTATGGTGGAGACAGAAGTGGGGGAGGCTATGGTGGGGACCGAGGAGGCGGTTATGGTGGGGACCGAGGCGGCAGCTATGGAGGAGACCGAGGCGGCGGCTATGGAGGAGATCGAGGAGGCTATGGAGGAGATCGAGGAGGCTATGGAGGAGATCGAGGTGGCTATGGAGGAGACCGAGGCGGCTATGGAGGAGACCGAGGCGGCTATGGAGGAGACCGAGGTGGCTATGGTGGAGACCGAGGTGGGGGGTGCTACAGTGGAGACCGTGGTGGTGGCGGTGGCTATGGTGGAGACCGAAGTGGAAGCTACGGAGGAGACAGGAGTGGTGGTGGCTATGGAGGAGACCGAGGTGGGGGCTATGGAGGAGACCGAGGTGGCTATGGAGGCAAAATGGGAGGAAGGTGAGTATTAGAATGTACTTGTGAACCTTTTTAAGCTTCACTGATCCTAAATATTAGGGTCTGAGCTATTTTTGTCACATTTTCTTCTTGTCCAGTTTTTTGAACTTGATTTTCTCATTTGCAGCTCTCTCAGGATGGAAATCTATTGAGTTCCCTGCTTAGCAGTTTCTAGCATTTATTTTGTTTTGGAAATTCTTATTAATAAGTCCTTGTTTTTGTGAGTATATGGAATTCCTAAAAGCTTAAGATAATTGAGATTGAGAAATTTGAAATTGTATAAATCAGGGGTCCCTAATCTAAGGGGGAAAGAGCACACCTTTCATCGTGGTGTGCTTTTTCAAATCACATATGCTGCCCTGCAGTTGTTTGTCTGGAGATGTTGGTAATACCTTTTCCAGATGAAAATCACTAATGGTACCAGTGGGCATGTGTTGTACATATGAATGGATGCCAAAGGTAATATACGGTAGTGAGGTTTATTATAATGTGGCTAAGGCCATAGAGTTTGGAGACAGACTGGGTTCAAATCCTGGCTCCACCACTTACTGGCTGTGTGACTCTGGGCAAGTTACTTAATCCTTTGGAGCCCTGGTATTCTCATCTGTAAAATGGGGCTAATGACGACCTCCTTCATGGAGTTGTATTAGATTACCTTCCAACAGTTGCTGGTACATAGTAAGTACTGTGTAATTGTTACCTACTAGTAATACTATCTGTTGAACACTTCTGTATGTGTCAAAGCCTGTGACAGTGTCTTTACACAGGTATACCCTTTGTATACTTTGCACTTTGCAGATAATGGTTTTTTTTACGAATTGAGGGTTTGTGGCAACTCTGTGTTGAGAAAGTGTTGGTGTAATTTTCCAACAATATTTGCCTGCTTTGTGTCACTGTCACATTTTAGTAATTTTCAGTGTTTCAAACTTTTTCATTGTATATGTTGTGGTGATCTGTGATCAGTGATTATGACTTGCTAAAAGCTCAGTGATGATTAAGCATTTTTTATCAAAGCATTTTAAAATTTATGGATATTTTTCTTCTTTTCCTCTGCTTTGTTAATGTCTACACTGATTTTTCTCCTCTCCCTGCTGCTTCCCTCAGGTCGTGGAGGGTATAGAGGCCGTGGAGGCTTTCAGGGAAGAGGTGGAGATCCCAAAAATGGAGACTGGGTTTGTCCTAATCCGTAAGTATCCCATTTTACTTTGGTGGAAGTAGGATTTGGGATTGGGGTTGGTCAGTGCAAGAGGGGGTTCTGAATTGGTTGGGAGGTATTGAGGAGCATTTTATTTTCCTCCTTTCTCAGGTCATGTGGAAATATGAACTTTGCTCGAAGGAATTCCTGCAATCAGTGCAATGAACCCAGACCAGAGGACTCTCGTCCCTCAGGAGGAGGTAGGTCAGCCTTTTGGGTAAGTTTTTTAACAATATTTACATGACAACTTATCTTCTGACTAGCATTAAGAAGGCTTTACATTATTCTGCTGGCCTCATTGGTTTGCATTTCTACATTGCAGATTTCCGGGGAAGAGGCTACGGTGGAGAAAGGGGCTACAGAGGTCGTGGGGGCAGAGGTGGAGATCGAGGTGGCTACGGTTCAGACAGAAGTGGAGGTGGTTATGGTGGAGACAGAAGTGGCAGCGGTGGCTACGGAGGAGATAGAAGTGGGGGTGGCTATGGTGGAGACAGAAGTGGGGGAGGCTATGGTGGGGACCGAGGAGGCGGTTATGGTGGGGACCGAGGCGGCAGCTATGGAGGAGACCGAGGCGGCGGCTATGGAGGAGATCGAGGAGGCTATGGAGGAGATCGAGGAGGCTATGGAGGAGATCGAGGTGGCTATGGAGGAGACCGAGGCGGCTATGGTGGAGACCGAGGTGGCTATGGAGGAGACCGAGGCGGCTATGGAGGAGACCGAGGTGGCTATGGTGGAGACCGAGGTGGGGGGTGCTACAGTGGAGACCGTGGTGGTGGCGGTGGCTATGGTGGAGACCGAAGTGGAAGCTACGGAGGAGACAGGAGTGGTGGTGGCTATGGAGGAGACCGAGGTGGGGGCTATGGAGGAGACCGAGGTGGCTATGGAGGCAAAATGGGAGGAAGGTGAGTATTAGAATGTACTTGTGAACCTTTTTAAGCTTCACTGATCCTAAATATTAGGGTCTGAGCTATTTTTGTCACATTTTCTTCTTGTCCAGTTTTTTGAACTTGATTTTCTCATTTGCAGCTCTCTCAGGATGGAAATCTATTGAGTTCCCTGCTTAGCAGTTTCTAGCATTTATTTTGTTTTGGAAATTCTTATTAATAAGTCCTTGTTTTTGTGAGTATATGGAATTCCTAAAAGCTTAAGATAATTGAGATTGAGAAATTTGAAATTGTATAAATCAGGGGTCCCTAATCTAAGGGGGAAAGAGCACACCTTTCATCGTGGTGTGCTTTTTCAAATCACATATGCTGCCCTGCAGTTGTTTGTCTGGAGATGTTGGTAATACCTTTTCCAGATGAAAATCACTAATGGTACCAGTGGGCATGTGTTGTACATATGAATGGATGCCAAAGGTAATATACGGTAGTGAGGTTTATTATAATGTGGCTAAGGCCATAGAGTTTGGAGACAGACTGGGTTCAAATCCTGGCTCCACCACTTACTGGCTGTGTGACTCTGGGCAAGTTACTTAATCCTTTGGAGCCCTGGTATTCTCATCTGTAAAATGGGGCTAATGACGACCTCCTTCATGGAGTTGTATTAGATTACCTTCCAACAGTTGCTGGTACATAGTAAGTACTGTGTAATTGTTACCTACTAGTAATACTATCTGTTGAACACTTCTGTATGTGTCAAAGCCTGTGACAGTGTCTTTACACAGGTATACCCTTTGTATACTTTGCACTTTGCAGATAATGGTTTTTTTTACGAATTGAGGGTTTGTGGCAACTCTGTGTTGAGAAAGTGTTGGTGTAATTTTCCAACAATATTTGCCTGCTTTGTGTCACTGTCACATTTTAGTAATTTTCAGTGTTTCAAACTTTTTCATTGTATATGTTGTGGTGATCTGTGATCAGTGATTATGACTTGCTAAAAGCTCAGTGATGATTAAGCATTTTTTATCAAAGCATTTTAAAATTTATGGATATTTTTCTAAAGACATAAAGCCATTGTACAATGAATGGAGTACAATATAGCATAAACATAACTTTTATATGCAAAAAATTTCATTTGATAAGCTTTATTGTGATAATCACTATATAACAGTAGTCTGGAACTGAACCTGCAATATTTCCAAGGTCTGCCTGTATACTTTAGTTTTAGTCCTTCTGTCAACCCCAGGAGGTAGATTTACTTCCCATTTTATGGAGTAAGAAACCAGAGTAACATTTCCAAGGTTACATAGTAAGTGGCAGATACTGATTCTTACATGAAAGTGTTTGCTTGCTTATTCCACTATGCTACTCTTCTGCTTGGAGTGCTGGAATGGCACAGTTCCTGACCTCCTGAAACACTCCACAAACAGTGGTTTGGAGTCCATATTCTAGGTGGAAAGTTTTAGAGGGTTAGTGATAGCAAAATCTCTAGGAACTTCATGAGTCTTAAAGCTGATAAATAAGATATTTGTTAAATACCTTGTTAAGAGTAGAGAAATGAATTAGTCATCCTTATAGAAGTTGTCAAGCTGAAAGAAGTGTCTGATGTTCTCCCTTGGTAGAAAATTAATTTAGTCTGGCTCTTTATTTTTCATTCCTAGAAACGACTACAGAAATGATCAGCGCAACCGACCGTACTGATGACTGTTTTGAATGTTCCTTTGTCTCTGACATGATCCATAGTGAAATTGCCAGAGTTTTGCCTGCTGCTTTCCTTGTGGCCTCTTCTTGGGTAGTGAAATTAAGTGACACTTGGGTTTTATTTGGGTGGGAGGGCTAGGACAGTTTTTCTTTTAGAAATGTCTGTTGAAATTTCCTTGTTTAGTTTCCAACCTTCTTCCCAACCCTTGAAGTTAAGTGCATTGTAAAATATTGCCAAAATGGAAAGTGTTTTTGTAATACTACAATAAAGGCTGCTTGTTTTGTGGACTTCTGTACATTAGTGTATTGTTCTGTCACACTCAGGATTCAGTTTTAGCAGACTCTAACCCTTAAGAAATGAATTCTACTTCATTAAATAAAAATTACTTTCAATAGTATTTATTATTGAGTTCTTAATCTGCTAAGAATAGTGAAATTACTATTGGAATTGTGGAATTACTATTGGAAATTATGGAATTATGGAAATACTATTGGAAATATGGAAATTCATGACTGCACATCAGAAACACTGAGGTTGTTAAAATTACAGATTCCTAGTCTTCATCCCAGGTCTGCTGGATCAGAACTTGGTAGGTGTGGGGAGGTAGGGCTGGGAATTTATATCAAGCTCATCAGATGATTTTGATACAGTCAGTTTAGTTATAGTTTGTAGTTGAGAACCATTTATTTAAGACAGTGTTTTAGATGCTGGGAATATGAAGATCTGAGGGATAGGTAGGAAGAGTTAAGGGTTCAACAAGCAGGGTTAAGATAGCAGTGTACAAGGTATGTTATTTAGTATTCGCTAAAGAACTATTTCTCCTACCCTTACTATGGGTGAGGCACAGCACCAGATGCAGGGTACATTGTCCATCAAGCAGACTGACAGTATGCAGTCTGATAAGCACTCTAATAAGTATGCTGATTAAGAATAAGAGGTTTTTAGGGGTGATTGGAAGGACACTTGTATACAGTCATGTGGGATCAGGAAGGCTTAGTGAGTCTTGAGGGAAGAGACCAGTAATTAGCTAGGTATTTAAAAGGCTGGGATGAGGAATGGTGTCCCAGCAGAAGGCTAATGACAAGCAAGTAAATCAGGAGTTAAGAGAAAGAGTAACAGAGTCTGCACTTGAGAAGAATTGTATGTAGTGCATTATGATTGGAGAGAGTTCAAGAATGGCCATGCACAAATTGAGTGGGGAGAGAGAGAGAGAGCTCTCCATGATGAGGTCCTTGCATTTCATTCCCCCCTACTCCAAATAGGGAGTATTAAGAATTTAAGCAGGGAAGTGGCCTGACCTGACCTAAGTGGCATCAACTGAAAGATTATAACTGCCTTGTGGAGAGGCTGGATGGGAAACAGTGGTAAGCCAGGTGAGAGGCAATAGTGGTCTGAGCTCCAGAGAGTGACTGCAAGAAGAGGAGATTTGTGGATTTGAGAAAGGAGGGGAGTTTGGTAGGGTTTGGCTGGATGTCAGAAATAGTGGGGAGGGAAGAGTCAGGTTTCTGGCCTGGGCAATTGGGAAGATATATTTTCATTTAAATAGTAAATATTGGGAAAGGAACAGGTTTGGGAGCAAGATGAGGGGAATGAATTTATTAGGGAGCTGGGTTTGCAAATCTATGGCTCTTTAAACTGGCATTCAACATTCTGCCCCTTGATTTCCCTCACTGATTTCCGTCTCCCTTGCTAGCTTCTCTACTTGCTCTTTACTTCGGAAGTTTCTTGGTGCTTGTTCTGATTCCTTTTCTCTCTTCTGTTTACATTCACATCTATCCTAGGTATACTCATAAAGGCTATGGCTTTAAATACCATCTAATAGGGTGGTGACTACTGTACTTTTGTCTCCATATTTGACCTCTTAACTCTGGATGATATCCAGTTGCCTGCTTGACCTTTCCACTAGGATATGCTGAACAGAAATTTTTTTTGGCAGTTCTGCTGGGACTGAACAGAAATTTTGATCCCCAAATCAGTTTCTTCCTAGTCTTAGCTCAGTAAGTGTCTTCACCATCCATACAGATCAGATCAAAAACTTAGAACTTACACTTGATTTCTCTAATTTATCTTGTATCTGCAGGTCCTTTTAATGCTACCTACAAAATACATCCTGAAAAGATTTTCATATTCTTGGTTAAATCCTGGTACAAGCTACAGTCATCTCTTGGACAATTGCAGTAGCCTATTAATAGGTGCTCCTACACAATCTTGCCCTTCTAAAATATTTCATACATCAGTCAAATGATGAATCAGTAT